GCTCGCTAGCAGCCTCGCACCGAGGCCCTATCCACGTCATCATTTACCCAGAATGCTTTGTGTGCAAATAAAATGGCTCCGTCCGTGTTTTATATTTTTAAAAATGTACAAAACTAAACATCCTACAGTATTTTTACAGTCTTTATTTTACAGTTAAAATAAATGTTTATCAACTAAAGTCTAAAGTTACAACTAATCCTGGGTCCCTTTAAGAATCAACATGCTACAGGTAGCATCCATGTTTAGCTAATTAAAGTTAAAACTGGGTAAATGACTTCATGCAGGTCACATCAGTGTCATGGAGAGTTCACTCTGGATTCTGATGGATTTAAAATATAAAGTAAATGTTAATGCCAAAACCTCCATTAAAAATAATATTCAGGAGTGAGCTTTAAGAGCTGCAGTGTGACCGTAGAGTCACCTGTCCAACTGGTGGGCTCATAAGGAGCTGAACACAAAGCCTTCATCCAGTTTAAATGGTAATAACTGAAAGTCTGGACTTTATGTTCCTTATAGGGTCAGAACATGTTTCAGTAAACAGTAAAATAATAAATCATGTCTGTGGTCAAACAATGGACCTACCTGAATGAACTACAGAGGTTCTGCTTTATGTGGAACGGTTGTGAACAAACTGAAATCCTTCAAGTATCTGACAGGACTGATGAGCTAAAGGCTAGTCTGAACAGAGCTGAGACCAAAGCAGATTGCTGTGGTCTTCAAATAAAGCTCTGACCTGCAGACTGAAGTTGTYTGAAGATGGCAGCAGTCCATTCGATGCTAACGTCCAACACTGACTGGGTCAGTTTAACCTATCCCAGTGAATCCAGCAGTAACATTAGAAAAGGCCTGGAGGACTCCTTGGTTTGAAGAGAAGTGCTACAGCTAGCTGCAGCTGCAAACACCCATGAAGTTCTAAATAATTACCTGCTGACAATGAAAAGGTTTGAATGAAAACCAGCCCTGGTCATGAACTCTGAGGTTCGAGTCATTTCCTGATCACAATGATTCACTTTGATCGTTACGCTTCAAACCAGCCGTTAGCTCGTCAGTTCAGGTAGAATTAAGGTTGTTCAAATAAACTTAAACAATAAATAAAATATGATTTAAGATAATTCATGTTTTCTCTAAAGACTCATTTCAACATGGCTGAAATATGTTTTTAAATTGTAGGTGCTGACTCAGCAAACTGAGGACATGTTTTTATTAACGCAACAAGACTCTGAATATTTAATTATTAATTTCAGTGGGTTTTTAAAGCTACAGACCCATCTGTACACTTTGTCTTGTCTTAAATTTTATATTTGTTTTTTATCTTTTTTCCAATGTTTTACTTGTTCTTACAACTTCTTTTATTTTGATTTTTACTTTTTTAACTGTTCAGCACTT